GTGGTCTGTATGAAGTATTACTTCTCCCTTTATTAGGAAATACCTGCGTAACTTACCAACTTTTCACTCATTATTCTCACTATTGTTCTTAGGTCATCACTGTTAGTTTCTTTCAAGTATTTCTACACTTTAATTGGATTCTGAAGGCTTTACTCTTTTATCACAGCTTTGATATGATACTTATATCAGGAGTGACAATCTAAACTTTAAGAAGCCAAAGTTAAATAAATAATTAGACATTTTATCATTTTACTAAATTCAAATGAAAGCATCCAAGGTGTTACTTGAATTAAAGTTATCTAAAAGAAGTAGCATTTTGATGTATAAGAACTCAGAAATAATATAGATTAGAGTTATTGGGGGAAAAAAATAAGTGAAGCAGCAAAACAAAAACAATTGTGTTTATTTTAGCACTTGCGGTAGCTCAGATTTTATTGCATTGATTTCCTTACGTAGGTTGTTAGGGATATAGCTAGCAGTGATTTATGTAATGGTGCCTTCTCTGAAAACCTAAAATGAAGAATGAGATATTCTGATGAACAGTGTCATTGTGGCTAGGTGTCATTATACACCTCATGCAGTTCCCTGGAGATTTTTGAGAAAGAAAGTCCTAAGAAAGAATTGAAGTTTTAATAGAAAGAGTTCTGTATCTTTTGTAACACAACAGCATCTACAACATCGAATGAGAATCTTTCAGTGTATTTGCAATAATTTTAATAAACCACGATTACAGTATCCATTCAGAGAGAATTTAGCTAGTTAGAATGTTAATTTGAAAGATCTGAAGCAAAGTTCAATCAATTGTTTCCAATAAACGATCTTAATGGCTTTTCATTCATATTATTTTCAGATCATGTTATCCAAGGCTGGTTATACATAAACACAATAGTTTGGAGCTTGCTGGCTCAAGCAAAAATAATAATTCAATTATGCTCTAAACATATTTCATGGTGCTCTTTTCTAGACCAAAAAAGCAATTATACTTTAACTCTCTCTTTCTGATGAAATAGTAATCAGAATGCACTAACATGTTAAAAATGATAGATCACTAAATGCAATGTCATTTAGAGAATGGGGAATAAATGAGTCAAGCCCTGGAGATTATTTTCAGGACCCTGATAATAGTAAAACCTCTAACAGCGAAGCCAGTCTACAAGTTTCAGTTTGAAATCTGGGTCTCCATCACCATACCTCTACAGGCAACATGACTTGAATGTGATCCTTCACAATTTAACCTTTAAATTAAGCAAAATCCGTATTTTAATAGCTCCTGTGAACATGAGGCAGTATGTATAGCAAGCACACTAGGGAAAAGTTTATAAATTAATTTACATTGAGAACAAATGTCATGCAAAGTACATTTCTGATACTATACTGAAAGGACGAACATCAGCCCTTGAACACCATATGTGGTCTGCATTATGGCTTCTTGGCACCAATCCATAATCTATTTCCAGCAGCCGCCATTTCAAAAATTTATGAGGACTTGGAAAGCACAGAAGGGCTAAAGAAGCCACTTGAGTTCTGCTTATTAGCATACTCATTAAGCCTAATCAATAATTGATGAACCATTTGTGAAAAACATATGGATTAAATTACATCCTGGCTTAAACCATTCAGAAAAGAGTCGTAAGTATTTTGCCCTATTGTTTGTTGTGTAAACATGATGTCAAAACTGATTCCATACAGATAACTGAAGAAGCTTGGGCTTTCTTTCCTCTACAGATCAAAATTACAACGTTATTACGCCATTTTAAAAAAATGTTTTAAAAGAATTTACTACGGAAGCTATTGGAATGCAAAATTAGTGGGCTATACTAAGAACTTTAAAAATTGTTTTAACTGCCCGGAGGAAGTGCTTGAGAAAAAACAAACGAAGGCATCTACGGGGCAAAATGTGAAGATTTAAAAACAATAGGACATGTTAACCTACGTTAAATCTATTCTTAACGCTCGCTCCTGGCCTTGGGGTACTTTTCAGCTAACAAAAATCCATATTTTTTTCTGTGGTTATTAGACTATGGAGTCAAAGTACATTAAAAAAATAAATTCAGAACAATTTTAAATTTACAGAAACATTGCTAAGATAGTACTTTGCACATACTTCACACCCAGTTTCCTCTATATTAACTTCTTATATTAATATAGTACATTTGTCATAATCCATGAACCAGTATTGATTCCTTATTATTAACTAAAGTTCATATTTTATTCTGATTCCTTTAACTTTCACCTAATGTCCTTTTTTCTGTTTCCTGACTTCATCCAGGAGACTCCAGTACATTTCATTATCCTGTCTGCTTAAGCTGCTCTTGGCTGTGACAGTTTCTCAGACTTGACTTGTTTTCAATGACCTTGAGAGTTCGGTGGAGTCTGTATTAGTGTCTTGTACAGTGTTTCTCACCTGGGATTTGTCTGATGTTTTTCTCATAGTTAAACTGGGTTTGGGGGAGGTAAAGCACATTTCTCATCACACTGTATCTAAGGTTTGTAACTATTAACATGACTTATTACTGTTGACATTAACCCTGATCACCTGGCTGAGACAGTGTTCATCAATTTTCGCAACTCCAAAGTTCTCCCCCCCTTACCATACGCACTCTCTGGGGTGTTAGTGCCATCTGCACTGAAATAGCGGGCCGTGCGCTTCACCTCTTTGAGAGTGGAGTGTGTCCGCGTAAATTATTTGAAATTTTTACATATATGAGATTTGTCTATTCTCCCCCACTTATTTATTTATTCAATTATTTATGTCTATTAGCACAGACTCATGGATATGTACTTCATACTTTATCTTAGAGTCCACTGCTCCTATAATTCAATACTATTTTATTTATTTTATTATTCAAGTGGTTGTGGCTTTGACCATTGGGAGGTCTTTCAGTTGGCTTCTGTGTCACTTTAAAATGTCACTGTCATCGTGTGTGTGTGTGTGAGTGTGTGTGTGTGAGAACATCCTTATTTTGTGGCACTACACGATCTTCACATTTCACTCATTTTATATATTTTCCATCACAGCTCTAGAATCAGCCTTTTTTTTTTTTTTGAGGGGCTCTTGTTTGTTTGTTTGTTTTAAATGGGATTGAAAACAAAGATCTGCATGCTAGTTGCGCTCTTTGCCACTGCAGTGTCGTTGCTCCCAGGCCTTCTCAGCTGACAGAGTAGGAAAATAGATGTGTCTGTACCACCCTTCACATAAATGCATATCTACTGATATTTCTATATGTAACAACTTATGTCTATATTCAGTTAAATATGAGCTTATTTTGATGTATCCATTTCTAATTCATTAACATATGTATCTTCTAGTCTCCTGCCTTGTTTATCTATAAAATCCCCCTCTAATAGTGAGACACCTGGCTCCCACCATACGCCATCTATTTATTTAATAGTTCGATTTCACTATGCATTCACCTACTGAAGAACACGTTGGTTGCTCCCAGTTTTTGGCAATTATAAATAAAATTGCTATAAACATTCATATATAAGTTTTTGGGGGTATGTAAGTTTTCAGGTCAGTCGGGTAAAAAAACCTAAGACCATATTTGCTGGATTTCAGAGTAGAACGATGTCTAGCTTTGTAAGAAGCTGCCAAAATGTCTTCAAAAGTGGGTGTGCCATTCCTGCCAGCAGCGAATGAAGGTGCCCGTTGTTCTTCACCGTCGCCATGATTTGGTATTCTCAGGTTTCTGAATTCCTAATCCTAATATGTGTGTAATGTTATCTCATTAATGTTTTAATTTTCATTTCCCTAATGACAAATGGTGCTGAGTCTTTTTCACATGCTTGTCATCTATATATCTTTTTCATGAGGCTTCTAATCTGATTTTTGGCCTACTCTAGATGCTCATTTTAAGATTATTTGGGTCTAGAACTTCTATATCATTCTAAAGTTTCCTTTTGGACTGGCATTTGATCTAGTGGACCCCCAAAAAGACTCGACAGCTCTTTGAATGGTACTGAATAAAGCCCCAGGGAGATTTTCAAAGTTAGTCAAAACACTCAGAAGAAGGCAAAAGACATGGACAATTAATATACATAGGTAGAAATCAAAATGACTAAGCATTATTTAAGTACCATACAAAGTTGAAAATAAGTCTTAATCTTGGAAGTTACTGGATATCTAACTTTGTGTTTTGTTATTTATTAAACAAATATGAATAAAGCATTTTTTCCCAGGAATTAGCCTAGGTGCTGGGATACAGTGGTGAGGAAGTGGTCCTTGACCTCATGGAGATTATATTTCAAAAGAGGCATTATATTGAACAATTAATGTCCTTTATCTTTATACATACTTTATTTATTATGTATTAAAATATATGGTATTTAGTGGAGGACAAAACTCTTGAAGATTAATAACTAGATATTTAGAATCAGTTAATGTATTTCTGAGAATATTATTTAAGGAAAAGACTTTTACTGAAAATAAATCAGAAACCTTAAACACATTTTAATGCTTTGACCAAGTATTTCAAATTCTAAGATTAACATGATGAAGCAATCAAAGAAACTATAAACAATAATATATAAGAATGTGTGCAGTTTTTTTAAATGAGGAAAAATTTGGGGGCAACTATAATGTAAGGAAATAGAGGTTCGGTTAAATGAATTACAGTGTATTGATTTGATGTTACATTATGCAGAAATTAATCTTGTGTTTCACAAAATTTAAATTTTAAGAAGAAATGTTCATTAAAACATTAAAGGGGAAAAGTGAAGTATTTAACTGTATATATAGTAGTCTCCTCTTCATTATTAATTACTTTTTGATGTGTTACGTTATCTGAACTAAAGCTCCAAAAGACATTTTAAAATATAAAAAATTTATCTTTTCAGGAGCGAGGACCTGAATTATTCTTTGCTTCATTATTCTTCTATCTCAGGAAACTTCTTTAACCAGCCTTTCGATTACCCACGTGTAAAGCAGGCATATACTCCTTATTCGGAAGGAAAAACTAAGAAGAAGCCATTCACTTGAATGTAAATATTTTAGAGGGAAGCTAAATGTTCTGTGGGAAATGCATCTTATTTATTGTGTTTCTTTAAGATACTGGCCTCTGCAGAAGTTGTGGCTTTTAAGATTTACGCTTCTTGTTCTGAATATGGAGTTTGACGGCTCTGTGCTGCACTCATTTCTGTGGAGGTTTCTCATCTTGTCAGTAGACATTGGCCAGAGATGCAAAGCTGAGACAAAAGAGCTTGTAGAAGGATGTGTGGCCCTGACCGTCATCTGACACTGCAGGACAGGGCCATGAAAAGTGGTGCAGGTAAAGCTCATTCTAGACCGGACAGTTACTGACAACCTGTAAGTAATGTACGGATTCCTTGTGGCGGTGACTGAGGATAACAGTCAGTAGACAATTCTATCATCATTCACTTGATGAAGATTCTGTCCCTAGTATGTCCTTATTCTTTCTCCAGAAAGAACTTTGACACACACAACATCTTTAAGGCACAAAATTATGTAAGTATGAAGTTCAACAAATTGATTTTTCCCGTTTCTTGTATACCCACTCTACATAAAACCTTTAATACTCCTGTTATTTTTATGCAAGAGAACTGTTTTCTTATACTGCCCTGACATAAAACATTCTGAATCACCAAAAGGACAGTAACTAGTTCAGCTTCCACTAACACTTCATGGCACATACTAACACACAGATAATCGTTAAAATTTTAGAAAGTGAAAAGATACCATTCTATGACACAGATCATATGAACAGGGAAACATGTCTGAAGAATTATTATTTTACTTTATAATGTGCTAGTCATAAAGGCATAGAAGAACCACTAATGAAGGTAAAGTGGGGGAATCTGAGGCCCTACTTTGCAACAGATGGAACCTTAAAGCATTAAGAATTAGTTGGCATGTACATAGACAACAAAGACCTACGGCACAGCACAGGGAACTGTATTCAATTTCTTGTAATAATACATACTGGAAAAGAATATGAAAATAAAAATACACGTATATGTATAACTGAATTGTCTTACTGTACACCTGACACTCACATTGTACGTCAACTACACTTTAATAAAAAATAACATTAATAAAAAAAAGAATTAGTTGGTGTATTACCATTACCTTATTTGTACTTATATGTAGGTAAGTCCCATGAGCTGTAATTGGAGTGAAGCACTCAAAAATGTCACCACTCATTTTTAGAATAATAGTATTAACAACAAAGATTACTGTCTCTGTTAAAAATACAAAATGGAGTAGGCGCCCCTGAATTGCTGTGGTAAGAGGGAGAATCAGTAAAATGATGCCTTCATTCTTTCTGCGCCGTCCCAGGGTTCAAGGATGTAAACTGGGGGGTCTGGGAGCACGACAATGGTTGTTGGGTATTAAGGGGAAAGAGAACCACATGGGATCCACGGCGAACAGCTTTGATGTCTCAGGTTTTAAATATTCATATTGTGCTTTAAATATTCATACTAAATATGGCAAAGAAGGTCACTAAATGGATGTAGAAATCCTTGTCTACCCACAGCAACTCATTCTCATCAAACGAGAAAATGGATCCAAAAAAAAACAAAAACAAAAAAACACGTAAATAGGCATTGAAGGACTTTTTTCTTTGTATTTTTCTGTTTCTGTTCGGTAAGGAGCACAGGGCTGAATTGCAAATTATCCTAGAAAATTGGCCATTGCTATGTTATCGAGTATAATAGTGCAGAGACAAAGGTTAAGATGAGATTAAATATTTCTAAAAGGATGAGAATATACTACATTTCCCTTCTTGTTCACAGTGACCCAATCACTCAGATGTGCCTTTACAAACAAAAAGTCTTCTTTATCATTTTCTAGCTTCCACTGAAATTCACGTTACACTCTGTGAATAGCCTTTTGCTACTTATCACAATACTGCAAATGACTTTCAAAAAAAAAAAGTAGATTTCAAACGCAGAACGAAAGTTTTATACAGAAGATGGAGAATCTTAAAGAGAACTATATAATATGATCTGGCTGTTATTCTGGAAATTCATTTGCACTGACTTATTAGCACCAAGGAACGAAATGTTTCTGAAAGATGATTTAATTTTCCCAAGACTTATTGGTCCATATCAGAACAAGAACAGTCGGGCTCTTCCCTGTTGATTAATTAGGATGTGATGAACAGTGTCAGATAAAGGAGTGATACTTGGCATATATTAACAACATTGGAATTTAGGTATCTGCTCCACATTATAAACACCAGCGGCATCCTAGCAAAAAGGAGAGAATGTAAACGCACACTCTACACCCGGTTCAGAATACAAACATTTAAACATGATGCTTTGCCTTGGGTAAAGCTATTAAAGAATTTTTAATTATTTAGGGATGCTTAATTGCCATTATTATCTGCAATTT